CCCTGCACGGAGCATCACCCACCAGCATGCCTTGTGAGGCCACCTGCCTCTCCATCTTCCCAGTGTGTCCGAGTGCGTGGGGTGTGTGTGTGTGTGTGTGTGTGCAGCTGAGGAGACCCTCCCCTTTCTGTTCACCACATTACCAGAGGCGGGTGTGATGGGCAGGATTTTCTGCGCTACCGTGGTGCCACTAAGAAAATAGGGGTGGAGTCTAGTCTACCAATCAGGTGGCAGTCTAGTGACGTCCCTTGCAGGTGTGGCTACCTATAAGAAGAGAGCCTCGATGGAGGCCTGGGCACCCCTTGTGCGCTTCCCTTCTTACCTGGACTGGTGTGCAGCCTGTTCCGGCACCTCACGCATCCCGCTGCAATGTCCGCTGGCTAACTCACTGCTGTAGCTTGGTTTACCCTTCTCCCCCTCCTCCCTCCTGCTTCTTTGGTCTTTGTGGGTTGGAAAGGCCTTTGGCACAGTCTGACCCATGAAGAGTGGGTGGGCCTGGGCTCTCCCCCAGCTGTGGGGCTGCCTCCCTGTTAGAATTCCCCATTCACCAGATAAACATCTCTACTGGTAGACATTCCTAAGTGTTCTGGGTTTGCTTGCGTCTCCATACACCCAGCCTACCCTAACGGGAGCTGTGTGAGGCCGACAGATAGATTTACAAATGGCAGCATCCACTCTTGGGGAAAAGGCACAAGGGAGCATGCAGGGCTAGGAAACCCCTTCCCAGGTACTGACCCTCAGGCTGCCGCGACTACACCCTGACAAGCGCTCATCTTCGTCGGAGGCCTGGGGAGAGAGGGTGAGAGCGGCATGAGGCAGTGGGGAACACTCACCCACCCTCGGCTCCTCGGGGTACACTGGCCCATCCCAGAATGGGAGGCTCGGGGCCACGAGCCCAGGTCCTCGGCAATCTGTGGGCTGTGGGTCCTGCCGATGCAGGACTGGTTCAGGAGGTTTCTGGGTCTCTCGGATGTAAATCCATTTGTACCAAGTGGTCTCATTTCGGACCCCACACCCCCATCCCCTGCAACTGACCAATCCTGAGCCTGGGTTCACCTTCTTATGCAAATTACTCATGTGTCCACTTGCTCCAAAGCCCTGAAATTGATCTCAGGACTCACTGCCAACCAGTCTATACGACCCACAGCGACCCTGCAGGACAGGGTAGAACTGTGGGCTTCTGAGACAGGGACTCTTGACGGGAGTGGAAAGCCTTGGCCTTCTCCCTCTGAGCAGTTGGTGGGTTTGAAAGCTACTAGGAAGGCATTAATATGCAAATATTCAAACATTTTCTTCTGTGCCCGCACACCTTGGTTAAAGCCGCCCCCTTTGTTTTAGGGATGGGAGCCGGAAGCCGAGGAAGGTGGACTCCAGCCCGAGGGTAACCTGGGTTTCCTGGGAACAGGGAGCATTAAGGAAAGCAGTCAGCTGGAGGAACTGGAAACAGGTGAGGGCTCGCACAGGTTTGACAGGGACATCACAGAGTGACAGTAAGTATTGGAGGGGCTTCGGGAAGGGTGCAGACAAATGGCGTGGGAAGAGAGTGGAGGCTGAGGGCCCTGGTACATGGCAGCCACTGGGAGTCCCAGTCCCCGAGCAGCGGGTGGTGACCATGGGGTGACAGGCGTGGTACTGACCGTTGTGCTCCTCCGAGATCTACGGGAGTAGCGCTCGCTGTCCTCCTACCAAAGCAACGGGGACAGCATAGAGCGGTTAGAGGCAGGTGGGCGGGTGGACAGATGTACAGACGTGCCCCGGCCCGACACAGTGGCTTTGACTGGTGTCACTAAGCCGCCCCGGGGATGATAGTGTCCCCCTGCCATCCCCGAGGCCCTGCCGGTGCACACGGATACTGGACATATTTCACTAGGGCCTGAAAACAAGTGTGTGTAGGGGGGTGGAGAACTTCAGGGGCGGGGAGAGCGGGGTCTTCATGTAAAGAATCCCAGCCCCTTACACACAAGGTCATTTCCCAAGCAGATCCTAGAAAGTGTCTGCCCTGCTTCCGTCTGACGTATTTTGCGGATTCTAACCCCGTTTTTGACATTTGGATATGTCTGAAAAGGGTCTCTTTTCTGATCAAATCCCCTCCCCTCTGGGTTATAATTGGCCTCACTTTTCTTTCCTTGCACACATGGGTGTAAAAGAGAGGCACCTAATGCTGCTCTGAAGCTTTGTTAGGGCACTTTTGCCTATTGTACAAGCCAAATGATGACTTACACACAATGAGGCTGGCTTTAACCTCCCTCCTTTCTTTCAGTAGAAAAATCACTGTCACTGAGTCGACGGCGACTCCCAGTGACTACGGGGGACAGAGTAGCACCGCCTCTTTGAGTGTCCACAATTGTCCACCTTGAGGGGAGCAGACAGTCTCATTTCTCTCCCTTGGAGTGGCTGGTGAGTTTGAACTGCTGACCTTTAGATTAGCAGCCGAAGGCACAGCCCACTATGCCACCAGGATTCCTTCTTTAGTCAAGGAAGTGTGCTTCAAGAAGGATCCTCCTATTTCGCGTGTTCCTCCCAGGCGCTGCTGAGCCCATTTTCACAGGTAGTGACCCCACGGGACAGAGCACACTGCCCTGGGGGGTTTCCTAGGCTGCCCACCTCACAAGAGCAGACCGCCAGGCCCTCCCGCCTCCCACCAAGGTTTTACTGACTTGTTAATCACAGGAGGAGAGCCTGCTGTCCATGAGAACCAGAGAGCAGGATG